GAGGGACGAGAGACGAGGGACGAGGGCGAGGGACAGGAGGAGGAGGAGGAGGAGGAGGAGGAGGAGGAGGAGGAGGAGGAGGAGGAGAGGGAGGAGGAGTAGGACGGGCGAGGAGGAAGAGGGAGGACGACGAGCGGTGGGGATTCGGGGTCACCGCACGGTTTCGGTTTGGGCACTCGGATCGTTATCCGAGGACGTCTAGGGCGACTGGGGCCTCCGAGGTCCCAAGACCGCGGAGTGAGGGGCCGCGCGGTGAGGTCTCTGGCGATTTCGAGGTCGCCGCGCGGCCCGTCACCACGCAGATTGGACCCCCGAAACGGAGGGGGCGAGCGAGGAGGCTGGGAGACAGGGGGAGGAAGAGGGAGACGGACCCAGATCTTCGACGATCGGATGTTTTCTGCACGCGGTGTTTCCTCGATTCCGGCACCTGGGGGCCGATCTCGGGCCCCGGGGCCATCAAAAATCGATACCCCCAGGACCTCTGGGGCCGCGGATTGAAACAACAAAAAAAAAATCGGCGGATGTCGGGGACGGCCAAGAGCGAGGGGGAGGAGGAAGGACGGAGGGGAGGAGGAAGAGGAGAGAGAAAGGACGACGAGAGGAAAGAGGAGGGGGAAGGGGAAGGAAGACGACGATCCCCCCAAAGACGGGCCCCTCGCAGCGCGAACGCCCCGTGTCGAGGTCGAGGAATTGTCTGGGGGGTCAACGAACCAGTTCACGTGTGGTTGGTTCCCCCGGCGCCTCCCAGCGCCAGGCGCCCCATCCATATGTATATATGCTTGTTGGTTTGTTTGTGTGTATGCATGCATGCATGCATGTATGCGTACATGCACGCATACATGCATGCATGTATGCATATACGCATATACGCATCCGATGCATGGATGTATGTGTGAATGTGTGCGTGTGTTTGTGTGCATGTGTACAGTCGCGTGGTTCCGTATGCATGTGTAAATATGCATGTGAGTATGCATGGTGTGTATGTATACATGTGTGTACGTACGTATGTGCACATGTAAGTACGTGTGTACATATGTATTTATGTATATGTATGTGTATGAATGTATGCATGCATGCATGTGTGTATGTGTGCGCTTATGTATGTATGCATGGATGTATGTATGTATGCATGGATGTGTGTATGTATGCATGCATGCATGCATGCATACATGCATGTATGCATGTATGGATGTATACATGCGGGTGCGTATGCGAGTACGGATGATTGTATGTATACGTGTGTGCAGATATGAGTATGCATGTATGTATAAGTGTATGCATGCATGTATGTATGTGTATGAATGTATGTATGTATGTATGTATGTATGCATGCATGTATGTATGTATGTGTGTATGTATGTATGTGTGTATGTATGTATGTTTGTATGTATGGATGTATGTAGGTATGTATGGATGTATGTATGTATGTATGTATGTATGTATGTATGTAGGCAGGTGTACATATATGTGTGTATACATGTATGTGTGTCGGAATGTGTATATGTGTGTATGCGTGTATGTATGTATGGATGCATGTATGTATGCATGGGTGTATGCATACATGTATGCATGCATGTATGCATGTGCGCATGTATATATGAATGGATGGATGGATGGATAGATGGATGCATGGATGTGTGCATGTATGCATGTATGCGTGTATGTATGCATGCATGGATGTATGGATGTATGCATGTATGTATGGACGGATGGATGGATGGATGTTGGTATGTGTGTATGGATGTAATGTTGTTTGTATGCTTGTATGTATGTACGTACAGTTGTGCCCATGTATGAAACCATCTCCTATACATCTATACATTCGTATACAAAGTTGTACGCGTATATGTATCTATATATATATATATATGCGTGTGTGTGTGTATTGAAAATGCTGCCCAGCGGCGGGGCCGAAGTCAGCAGGACAGATCACCCCGGTTTCGTCCAACCCAACACGGGCGGGCCCGGGGGGGGGGGGGAAGGAGGCGCTGACCCCGAGATCCACCACCAGTTTCTCTCACACCAGGCTTTCGCTTGGGCGTTGCTCCATGCGGGGGGCGAGACATGGGGGGCGCGGGGGTGGGACGTGCACGTGTTCCTGCCCCTTTTTGGCCTCAGGAGGCCCTTCAGGGCCCCTTTAGGGCACAAAAGGTGCACCCTTTTCCCACCTCCCTGGCGATCGCCCCTTCATTACGCAACGCCCGATTCGCCTGATGCCCGGGCCCCCCCTGGAGCCCTGCACGGAGCGGCCCCGAGGTGGGGTCGGGTCTGCGGCTCCCCGGCGGGATGCCCACGATACGCTGCCGCTTCCCCAACCAGTCTGTGCTGTCGTTTCCTGTTCTTAGATGCGCAGCGCCCCGCGTCCTTCCTTCCTTCCAGCTGCCCCCTTCTGCCCCCGTGCCTCTGCGCCGGCACACCACTCACACCCTTCGTGGCGCCACAGGAAGCTCCACCAAAGCCCCGTGGGGAGCTCCACCTGCGGCCCGAGCGGGAGGGTCCACATGGCGGCCCGAATCGTTGGGCGCACCCTTCGCACCACCTGCGGCCCCAGTGACAGGGCCCGCATGGCGGCGCCACCCGTTTCGGCACATCTCGCACGAGGACCGCGTCCCCATAGGGAGCTCCACATACGCTCTCAGCGCGAAAGCTAGCACGCGCACTTTCGCGTGCTTCGGCGCACCCCTCACGCGAGCCTCGCCTACCGCCCCAGCGAGAAAGCGTGAATGGCCTCCCTGCATCTTTCGGCGCACCCCTTACGCGCGTCGCGCCCCCATAGGGAGCTCCGCATACGGCCCATGTTGGAAAATTGCATACGTATCCCCATCCCATGCCGGCGCATCCCTCACACGGGACGCCCATAGAGAGGTCAGCCACCATCGTCACATGAAGCTGCTAGACGGCGCCCACCGTGGAAAAACCCGAGGCGGCGTTCACCATGCAGGCCCGTGCCTCTACGTCTGCGCCTTACGTCAGCACTGGATATCCCCCGCCTCGCTTCTGATCGAGCCAGGCGCACAGGCGTGCCGTCCAGTTGCTACGCCACGTGGTGTCTTGAGCACTGGTGCAGCTTTCCCCCCCGAACGAAAGCAACCAGGAAAACCAGATCGAGAAATCCGCTGCCGCTCACAGGGGCTGCCTCGCACGCGCGATAGACGGGCAGGAGAGCACAGCGAGGCACCGGCGCTGCAGGCCGTGGCGATCCGCCGCATCGCGAACTGAGCTGATGATGATGATGATGATGATGATGATGCTGATGCTGATGGTGATGGTGATGATGATGATGATGATGACGATGATGATGATGATGATGATGATGATGATGATGATGATGATGACGATGACGATGACGATGACGATGACGATGACGATGATGATGACGATGACGATGATGATGACGATGATGATGACGATGACGATGACGATGACGATGATGATGAGGATGCTGATGATGCTGCTGATGCAAGCCGTAGCGAACCGCCGCATCGCGAACTGAGCACCGCTGCCGCTGCCGAGGGCGGGGTCCCTCCCAGGGCAGCACTGTCGGGACCCGTCCTGCACCCTCGAGGCTCCCGGCCCGCCCCCAAAACAGGGCTGGGATCGGGATAAATCGCTCCATCGCTCCAGAGCGTTCCGGAGCGCTCTCAGAGCGTTCCGGAACGCTCTGGAGCGGCCGCGGCGCCCAATACATCCTCCAAACCCGCCGATTCTCAGAGATTTCGAGTTATCCCGATCCGATTCTGTCCCGATCTTCGCGTCGTCCGACCCCCGCCCCCCCCCCGAGCGCGCCGACCGGGCCACCGAGGAGGGGAGGCCGCCTCTCGCGAGGACAGCGACGAGGACGAGGACGAGGACAAGGACGAGGGCGACCACGACGACGACGACGACGACGACGACGACGAGGACGACGACGACGACGACGGCGACGACCACCACGGCGACGACGACGACGACGACCACGACGACGACGACCACCTCCACCACGACGACGACGACGACGACGACGGCTGGGCCGTCCAGGGAGGGGCCGCCCCTCCCTGCCCCGACCTCTTGGCCTGCGGGGAGGCTGGCCTGCCACCAGATGGAGGGCGGGGTCAGGGAGGCCGAATAGGCAGGAGGGGGGCGCGACGAGGGAGGGATGCACGAGGGGCGCGGGGTAGGGGAAGAGGGGGAGGATAATGGGAAGGAAGGGGAAGAGGAGGACGTAGAAAACGATGCGCACGGGGAGGAGGGGGGGGGGCGGAGGAGGAGGAAGAGGAGGAGGAGGAGGAGGAGGAGGAGGAGGAGGAGGAGGTTGAGGAGGAGGTGCAGGAGGAGGCGGAGGAGAAGGAGGCGGAGGAGGAGGAGGTGGAGGAGGCGGAGGAGGAGAAGAGGAGGAGCACGAAGAGGGCAGTGAGTAGGATGGTAATGGTAACCATGAGGATAAAAGGAGCAGAGTAGGAGCAGAGGAGGAGAAGAGGAGCATGGGTACTGTCTCATGCACGTCATAATCACCTCCACCACCTCCAGAAAGACCATGTGAGCGCATACGAGATTATGTCCTTGCGGGCCCTACTTATTTTCCTCTGGATCCGTGTCCCCCTGATGTCCAGCTATGCTCGCCTGCGTCTCGTTTGTCGGGAACAGCGCCTGAGTCGGTACCCTTTGTGCCCTGTCGCCGTTTTACCATCCCGGCGCTCCGAGCCCAGTCGATCGAAGCTTGCCGATCGAAGAGGAGCAGCAGGATGACCAGCAGCAGAAGGTGCAGGAGAGGCATGCCTGCGACCCTTCTCTCGCAGCGCCACCGATGCTGTGCTGCCTGGCTGCTTCTGCAGGCAGCAACAGCCCGCGCGCGACCGCCGTCAGCGCACTGCCAAAGGCGGCGCCTTCCGCCCCCGCCCGTCGAATTACGCCTTGCGCGAGCCCCGCGTCCTCCTCTTCCTCTCTCCGCGTTCTCACCCTTTTCCTCCTCCTCCTCCTCCTTCTCCTAATCATCATCTTCCTCCTCCTTCTCCTCCTCCTCCTCCTCCTCCTCCTTCCCTCCCCTCCTGCTCCGCATCATCACCAACGATCATCATCAGCACGATCAGCCTCGTCGTAGGCATGAGCAGCAGCATTATCATTCGAGAACCATCACACATCACACATCACCGTCAGCAGCAGCATCACAGTGAACATCACCATCACCATCAGCAGCATCATCAACATCATCAGCATCATCCTCATCATCATTATCATCATCATCACCATCATCAGCAACATCAGCATCAGCATCAGCCTAATCAGCATCAGCATCATCATCATCATCATCATCATCAGCAGCAGCAGCAGCACCATCATCCCCATCACCAACAACAGCAGCAGCATCATCCTCAACAGCATCATCATAGTCATCAACGCCATCATCATCACCAACATCATCAGCATCATCAATATGGTCATCATGGTCAACAACATCATCAACACCATCATCAGATGCACCAGAATCACCATCAACACCAGTATCATCAGCATCACCAGCATCAACATCATCATCATCAGCATCATCATCAGCATAATCATTATCATGATCGTCAGCAGCATCAGCAGCATCATCATCATCGTCAGCATCATCAGCAGCATCCCCATCATCATCAACAACACAATCGTCCTCATCAACAACAGCATCATCGGCATCACCATCCTGATCATAACCACCATCATCATCATCATAATCATCAGCATCACCATCATCATCATCATCATCCCTATCGTCATCATCATCACCACCAGCAACATCATCAGCGCCATCACAAACAACGTCATCATCATCATCAGACCTCCCGTCATGATCATCACCAACAACAGCATCGTCATCAGCATCATCATCAGCAACAGCATCGGCATCATCACCCTCGTCACCATCATCATAATCGTCAGCATCAGCAGCATAGTCACCATCAATCATCAGCATCATCATACTCACCAGCATCATGATCACCAGCGTCAGCAACATTATCATCGTCATACGTAGACCCGCCAGTATCATCGACATCAGCAGCAACAACAGCATCAACAACATCATCATCAGCATCGTCAGCATCATCATCAACATCATCAGCATCGCCATCGCCATTACCATCATCAGCATCATCATCTTCATCATCAGCATCATCATCTTCATCATCTTCATACCCACCCTCATCCTCCTCATGATCCTCCTCATCATCATCGCCGTCAGCCTCATCCGTAGCATCCAGACATCATCTTCAGCAGCATCAGCATCGCCACCACCATCACCATCCTCATCATCATCCTCCTAATCAGCATCGCCGCCACCACCATGATTATCATCCTCCTCTCTTTCGTCGTTGCCTTCGTCGTCATCATAATCGTCATCATCAGCATCATCACCAACATCATCAACGACACCATCACCCACCAGTATCATTATCACCAACGCCACCACCATCCTCATCATCATCAACATTATCATCATCAGCAACATCATCATAGTGCTCATCATCATCATCATCATCACAACCACCATCACTATCCTCATCATCATCATCCTAATCATCGTCCCTCACTTTCGTCCCTATCCTAGCTCAGCCGTCCACTTCGTCAACATCAGGCTCCAGTTCCAGCTTCCTCCTCCCCCTCCTCGTCACCATTCCTGGTTTGCCCGACCGCTCGACCGTGGGATGCTGCACCCCTCTCACATGGAAACACATCCACCATACTCCTACTCCTGCTGTTCCGTCGTGCCCAGAAGCGCCTCTCCGCCCGCTCCTCCCCTCTCTGTCTCATCCTCATCATCATTCCCCGTCTCCCGCTCTCCTCCTCGTCCTCCTGTTGTGCGCATCCCTCCCCCACGCGGAGATGCTGCAATTCCCCCTCGACCCCTGCCGCCCCCATGGGCCCAGAGGCTGTGAGACGAAGAAGCTCAACACTTCGATGTCCTGTCCGGGGGCTTGCCGCAAGTTATTGCACCACCGTGCCATCGGCACTGGGTGGACTGTCCTGGGGTCTCTGACAGTCCTCTGCAACCTCTGTATTGAATACAGTCGGGCCGCTGAGGCCAGGAACGGTAAAGAAGGAAGAAAGCCCCTTCCTGGACTCGACGGCCCCTTTTTGGACCCGAGAGCGCCTGCGTGCACGAGGAGAGCCAGAGGAACAACCACATGATGATCTGAGGGGCATCGAGCCCCTTTCGTACCCAAGCTGTTCTTTATTTCAGCGCCTTGACTGTATGTTGAATGCTCGGTTGAGTGCCCAGAGCCGGATCTCGTGGGCCCTCCAGCGTGACGTCTGGGGCTTCTCGCACGACGCTGACGGAGGCCAGGGAGCACCGAGACGGCCCAAAAGAGTCCCAAGAGGACCCCAAGATGGTCCTAAAGGTCCCGAGTAACTCAGGAGCGCTACAAGACGGCCCAAGATGGCATCAGGACGCGGCTGTGGAGGCGCCCAAGTCGCTCTAAGAGGCCTCTCCAAGAAGACCTCAAGGGGGGCCCAAAACAACACGCTTCTAAGGTTTGGGCAGATTTCAAGGCTCTCGCCGTTTCGGGCCTAAGACGCCCCCAAGATGGCCTCGAGAAAACCCAAGTTATCCCCTAAGAGAGCCACGAAACGGCCCAAGAGTGCCCGAAGATTGCCCAAGAGGCCGCCAAGATGGCCCCAAGAGAAAACCAAGAGGATGAAGTCGAAGAGGCCTTCGGAGCCTTTTCCGACAAGATGGCCCCGATGACCTCCAGCATGGCACAAAGAGGTCCCCCAGAAGCCCCCGCAGGCCACAAAGAGGTCCCAACAGACGTCCAGAAGGCCCCAAGAGGTTACCAAGAGGCTTCCACAAGCCCCGAAAGCGGCTTTCCAAAGACCAGAGATGCCTCTCATACGGTGGGGGGCATTGAATAAGGAACCATGAGATAAGGAATACAAGGTCTGGAGGCAGGTGGAACTCCCATCGAGGCTTGGCCATGGATATCACCGCCGCCCTCATCGGATAAGGAATCCTCCAGAGTCTGCAGCCTCCTGGGCGCATTCCTTAACCAACGCCCCCACCGTATCCCGATGGTCCACGACCCAGGTATTGTGGCGGGGTGGGTGAGCCCACGGCCACCAACTTTGCCGACTCCCTCTGCTTGCAAGGGCGTGATTGGCATGCCGCGTGTTCGAGCTCTCTTGGCTCGCTCAGACCGTTCACCATGGGGTCCTGGCTCATCCAGGCTGCCACCCCGAAGGCCGCGCAAGAGGTAAAGTCTGGCTTTCCCGCCCAAGATGGCTCCAAGATGGCCTCCACAAAACCGTCGCAAGACACCTCCAAGGCGGCCAAGATGGCTCCAAGCAGGTCCCATATGGCTCTAAGATGGCTGAAGACAGCCCCAGGAGGCCCCAAATGACTGCCGAAGATCGCCTCAAGACGGCCCATGATGCTCCGAAGACAGCCCAAGAAGGCTACAAGAGGACCTCCAGAAGGCCCTAGGAAGCAACCTTATACAGCTTACAAATGCTATTCAATTGCGTGCATGATTGTTGTTGTTCTGGCATCCGACAGCTCAAGAGAACCCAAAGATCACTGAGCCCAAGAGGCCCCCAAGAGGGCCTCAAGACGGACCAAGAGGCCCCCAATAATGCCCAAGAGGCCCCCAAGACAGCCCCAAGAGGGTCACAAGACGGCTCAAGAGACCTTCAAAACGGCCCTACTGCGCCGCCAGAGGGCCCCAATATGACGCAGACAGACCCCCTAAGACGGCCTCTGAAGGCGTCAGACGGGCTATGAGAACCCGATCACGGACTAAAAGGCCCTCAAGAGACCCGCAGTGGCCCCGACGAGGCGCCCAAGAGGCCCCTCAGAGGCCCCCATGAAGCCCACACGATGCCGTCTGGAGGCCCCAGGAGGGCCGCAAGAGGCATCGTTTTCCCTTCTTCTTTCTTTCGTAAGCATGCCGCCTCATGGCCTCCTCCTCCTCCTCCTTAAACTCCATTTCCTCATCATCCTCCCCTATGCACGGCAAGCGCTTAGTGGGTCTGGCCACGCGCGTCTCGGCAAATATTGCGCTTCAGTGTGTTGGGGAGGCGCGCATATTCTCCCCCCCCTCCTCCTCCCGAAAAACCATTCACACCCCGACGTCATACTTCGACCAGCACGTGAGATTCTGGAGCTGTCGACCCGGTATTCCGCATGGGGTTCGCGCCGTCGGCGGCGTATCGTCGTCGTCGTCGCCGTCGTCGCCGTGCCCCCTCCCTGCCGCCTGCCTCACGCGCCTGGGCGCCCCCGGGGGGCCCCGCGGCGCGCGGGGTGCGGCCCCTCGTCGGAGGAGCTCCCGCTGGCGCTGCGGGGGGCGGGGGGAGCGCGGCGACGGCAGCGGCATCGGCCGCCGTGTCGTCGCCGACGCCGCCGTCCACCGCCGCCGCCGTCATCGCCCGCCGCCGCCGCCATCTTCGCCGCCGTCGTCAGGGCGTGGCGGGGGGTCGTCGTCGGCGCCGTCGTCGTCGGGCGCGGTAGCCGTCGGCCGTGCCGCAGCCGCCGCTGTCGTTGTCGCCCCAGGGGGGATCGAGGGACGTCCTCCCTCATCCCGGCCCCCCTCCTCCGCCTCCTCCCCTGGACCTCGACCAGGGCGCTCCTATCCCCTCTCCTTCTCCTGTTCCTGCTCTTGCTCCTGCTCCTGCTCTTGCTGCTGCTGCTGCTGCTGCTCCTCCTCCTCCTCCTCCTCCTCCTCCTCCTCCTCCACCTCCTCCTCCTCCTCCTCCTCCTCCTCCTCCTCCTCCTCCTCCTCCTCCTTCTCCCCCCCACAGAGATCAGACGCTTTGATTGCTTCAGCACGGGCCCTGCAGTAGCCCTGTCTCCTTTCTGATCAGCAAACATGGAACCCCTACTCCGTTGGGAGCGGGCCTCGGTAAAGAGGCGCAACGCATCAGGGGCAGGGGGTCTGCTCAGCAGATGCATCAATCCCGCATACAAAGGCGGGGACCTGAGGTTGGCGACGTCTGCATGGTGCTATAAAAGCTAGCGGCGAGTCTATTCTCGATGGCTCTCCCTAGGGCCAGCTGTCCATCCTGAGCCGTTGTTGGACAGCCCCTGGGGCCTAGCGAGAGAGAGAGAGGGAGCCCGCAGAGGCAGCGCGCAGCGAAAACCCTCCGCCTTGAGATTTGATTGACCGCCCCGAGATGTGTCAAGCGCTGGACGGCTGGGAGGGGGGGGCACGCTCCAGGAGGTCCTGGGGGGAAGCGGGAGGGGGGGCGCATTGTCTCGTCACCGGCAAACAACCCCACACGCAGCTGCTACGTCTCAGCCGAAACGTCGCGGTGAGATGGCGAATCACAGCGTCAGGATTTCAACCACGACCGGCTGACGTGGCCGAGCAGCTGCAGAACAATGGAAAAGGCCCAGGAAGGGGGAACGGGTGAAAGGAGAGAGAGAGAGAGAGAGGGACCAGGAGCGGAGAGGGGGGGGGCACCTGGAGGAGGGGGCAACTTGCAAGAGGCAGCCCAAGAGGGGGGGGGATACGGGGGGGGATCGGGACGCCAGCGGCAGCCAGGGCGAGCGCGGCTCGCGGCGGTCATCGAGCGGCCTCCCCTCGGCGCCAGACGGGCCGAGCCTCCTCCATCTCGGCGGCGCGCCGCGGGGTGATAGAGGGGGCTGGTCCTCTCAGAAGGCGGCGGGGCTTCCCAGGAACCCTCAGCCTCCGCTCTGTTGGGAAGCACCCCCATGTGGCTCCCGAGGGGGCCCAGGAAGCTCCTCAGCAGGCCGCAGGCCTCCTGAGCCTTCCGAGAAAGCCCGCCCCCGCTAAACCCCCCTGGGCCGCGACCCCGACCCTCCTCCTGACTCCGTCCGGCCTCCTCCTGCAGGCCCCTGCATACCTCCCTACCGCCCTGCCTCCATCCCTCCCTCATCCCTCCTCCCTCCCTCCCTCCTCCCTCCTCCTCCTCCCTCCCTCCTCCCTCCCTCCCTCCTCCCTCCTCCTCACTCTCTCCCTCCCTCACTCCCTCCCTTCCTCCCTCCCTCCCTCCCTCCCTCCCTCCTCCCGCCCTCCCTCTTCCCCTCCGTCCTCCCTCCTCCCTCCCTCATCCCTTATTCCTCCGCCTGCAGGCCTCGGCCTCCTTCCCTCCTCCTCCTCCTCCTCTTCCTTCTCCTTCTCCTCCTCCCTGCTCCTCCTCCTCCTCATCATCATCATCCTCCTCCTCCTCCTTCTCCTCCACCTCCTCCTCTCCTTCTCCTCCCCCCTCCTCTCTACCCTCTCCTCCAGCCTTCCTCCCTCCTCCTCCTCCCTCCCTCCCTCCTCTCTCCTCCTCCCTCCCTCCCTCCCCTCCCGCATGCCTCCTCCTGCAGCCTCGGCCTCCATCCTTCCATCCCTCCTCACTCCCTCCCTTCCTTCCTCCATCCTCCTCCCTCCCTCCCTCCATCCATCCATCTCCTCTCCTCATCCCCCTCCTCATTTCCTCCTCATCCCTCCTCCTCCTCCTCCTCCCTCCCTCCCTCCCTCCCACCCTCTCCCCCACTCCTCCCTCCCTCCCTGCCTCCTCCAGCCCTCCCTCCCTGCCTCAACCTCCAGGCTCCCAGGGCCAGGACACTGCTCTTGGGCGCAGCGGGCGGCTGGGGCAGGGCCGCGGCCTGGTGGATTCCGTCCTTCGCCTCCGCTCGGGGCGGGCCCTGGGCGCCTGGCGGGCATGCGGAGGGGCGGGAGGGGAAGGGGACCCCTCCCCAGCTGCGGCTGCTGCTCCCCCTGCTGATCCCTGATCATGCTCCTGCTCCTGCTCCTGCTCCTGCATGTGCTCCTGCAACTGCTCCTGCTCCTGGTCCTCCTCCTCTCCCCCTCCTCCACCACCACCACACCACCACCACCACACCACCACCACCACCACCACCACCACCACCCACCACCTCCTCCTCCTCCTCCTCCTCCGCTCTCCTCCTCCTCTCCTCCTCTCCTCCTCCTCCTCCTCCTCCTCTCTGCTCCTCCTCCGCTCCTCCTCCTCCGCCTCTTGTTCCTGTTGTGCGTCTCCTACACCTCTCCTCCTCCTCCTCCTCGTCCTCCTCCTCATCGCCCCCATCAGCATCATCACATCAGCATCATCAGCATCAGCATCAGCATCAGCATCCGCATCATCATCATCATCATCATCATCATCATCATCATCATCACATCATCATCATCAATCATCATCATCAGCATCATCATCATCATCAGCACATCATCATCATCATCATCATCATCATCATCATCATCATCATCATCATCATCATATCATCATCATCAGCATCATCATCATCATCATCATCATCATCATCATCATCATCATCATCATCATCATCATCAGCATCATCATCATCATCATCCTTATCATCATCATCATCATCATCAGCAGCAGCAGCAGCATAAGCAGCATCACCAACATCATCATCATCAGCATCACCATCATCATCATCATCATCATCATTGCCATCATCCGCATCATCATCAGCATCCTCACCATCATCAGCATCATCATCATCAACATCATCATCATCACCATCATCAGCATCATCAGCATCGTCACCATCATCAACACCATCAGCATCATCCGCATCAGCAGCAGCAGCATCGTCATCAACAGCATCAACATCATCATCATCAGCATCTTCATCAGCATCAGCATCAGCAGGGACAGCAGCATCATCATAATCACGAACAGCATCATCAGCATCAGCAGCATCATCATCACCATCATCAGCAGCATCGTCAGCATCAGCAGCAGCAGCATAATCATCATCGGCATCATCATCGTCATCATCTTCATCATCAGCATCAGCATCATCATCATCAGCAGCAGCAGCATCGTCAGCATCAGCATCGTCAGAATCACCCCCATCACCATCAGCATCACAAGCATCACCATCAGCAGCATCATAAGTATCGGTTCAATCATCAGCATCATCATCACCATCATCATCATCATCATCAGCATCATCATCATCAGCAGCAGCAGCAGCATCAGCATCACCATCAGCAGCAACCTCAGCAGCATCCCCATCATCATCTTCAACATCATCAGCATCATCAACATGATCATCAGCATCATCAGCATCAGCATCATCGTCATCATCGACAGCATCACCATCATCATCAGCAAACGCATCACCACCATCAGCAGCAGCAGAATCAGCAGCATCAACATCATCACCAGCTTAACCAGCAGCAGCATCAGCATCATCAGCAGCAGACTCATCATCATCAGCATCGTCATCATCAGCAGCATCATCAGCATCATCAGCATCAGTATCATCGTCGTCGTCGTAAGCATCATCATCACCATCATCTCCATCAGCAGCATCAACCTCGTCGAAGCATCATCGTCATCATCATCATCATCATCATCATCATCATCATCATCATCCCCATCATCATCAGCAGCATCGTCATCATCAGCAGCATTATCATCATCATTTCATCAGACCTCTTCCCATTCCCAGTGGACCAGGGTTCCCTAGCGGCACGAGGCTACCCATGAAGCCGACGGAGAGGGCAGCTGTCCCCACCCCGGGGGGGGGCTCGACAGTGGAGCGGGGCCGAGGCTTTCCCGGCAGGGACGGGTGTAGAACGACGCTGGTCTCCGCCCCTTCTCCCACGACCTCCTTCGTCCACAGCAGGAGCGCGACCAAAAGAAACCTTCCACGAGAGACCCAACCCTGACACCCCAGGACGTCCACTGACGTCGTGAGTGGGAACGCCACGCTCTCCACCGCAAAAACCATCAAAAGCCAAGAAACCAAGGGCACCCCGGAGGCAAGCAGTGTGTTTCTTGGCATGGGTGTCCACCGTACACGCAAGAGTAATCCTAGATGAGGGAGACCTTTGGTGCGAAGCTTGCGGGGGCGCGGGGGGGCCAAACCCGAGCGCTCCAGGCGCTGCCATCGCATGCATCGCAATCCGCCATCTGAGGACCCCAGTGTGCCCGCACCAGAAGTCACTCCGGCAAAAGGTCACTCATTGTGTGTAGCCGACTCCTTCGCGTCAAGACCGTGGTCGCCCCAATCCCGCTTCACGCCCGAGACGTCATCCCTTCTTCCCGCCCCCCTCTCCCGCACTCACTGCTAGTCCGCGAGCCGGGGGGCTTGACCGCTCGCGCACCCTGGGGAGGGGGGGGGGCGGGCCCGGACTCGGCACTGCACCAGTCTGCGCGCCAACTTGCTGGAGGCTCTCGCCCCCGGAACCAAGGGGGGGGTACCGTCGGGGCGTTGACCTAAGGAAGTCTAAATAAGGAACGAGGCCCCTTTCTCCCACAAGTTGAACTTCGATGTCCCATGGAAAACCTCAGGAACACCGGAGGCAAACTGCAGAACAATCAAGGAACACCGAGCCCCTCCCCAACGCAAAGGGTTCCTTCTTCAGGGCCCCGGCTGTACACTAGCAGCTACCGCCACCCTGCCCAGCGAAGGGGAGCCAAGCCCTGAGCCCCAGGCGGCCCAGCGCACAGAAACGAGAGGGCAGCGGACGGCGCTAAGCGCTAGGAACGGCATTGCGAAGACGAGGAACACATGAAGGAGGCGGCGGAGAGAGGAGGAAGGTGGAGGCAGATGGCCCGCAAGATGGCCCCAAGAGGCCCTTCAAGGTCCCCACGAGGGCCCAAAGAGAGCCCAGGGGTACCCCAAGAGGGCCTCAACAGCGCCACGAAAAGGCCTCCCCGCAATGGCCCCAAGAGGGCCCCCGATGGCCCCAAGAAGCCCTCAAGATGTCTCTAAGAGGCTCCCAGGGCATGACTGCAAGCTGCTACACGTCGCCAATCCCTGAGCGGGGCAGCTAGCCTGTTGACTGGTTTTGGCTGGGCTGGTGGGGACACGCGAAGCGTCACGACCTGGACCTGGACTCGGGCGAGGACCGCGCCGCTGCTCCAGTTGGCGGATGGACCCGAGGCAGACTGGTGAGGGAGCGAAGGTCCGTCGGCGACGAGCCCAGGGGGGAAGGTGAGAGGGGGCAAGCCCTCTCGGAAGGCGGGGCGGGGAAGCCGTCTATGGCTTCGGAGAAGGCTCACGAGGCTTCTTAAGAAGGCACGAGGCTTCTAAGAAGGCGTTTAAGAAGGCACGAAGCTTCTAAGAAGGCACGGGGCTTCTAAGAAGGCACGAGGACTTCTGACAGCCCCGCCGCCCTCTGAGGAGGCCTACCCCCCCCTCTCACTCCCTCCCTGGCCTCGCCGCCGAGTCAGAGCAGGTGGGGGGCGTCGGAGTTGCGACCACGGGCGGCCTGGGAGGGGCCTTGCAATACGCGCCAACCCCAACCGATCGGCGCACTCCCACCACAAGGGCCAAATCCAGAAGAGAGCCTGCGACTGCCCACGAGTGCGAGGTGGTGGGGGCCTCAGACGTCGTGCCGCGAGGTGCTGGGGGCCTTGAGCGGTCTGCAGGGGTCGAGGGCATCGGCCGGACTCCAGGCGAGGGCACGTAAGCACATCTGCATGATAACAGCGAGTGTGCACCATAGCCCACGCAGATGCGGATAAGAGTGAGGGGGGGGCTGTCGTCGGCGTTTTGCGAGGCCCGAGGGCAGGAGTAAGTTAAGTACCGAAACCCGCCGCAGACAGTCAGAACGTTGCTTGTGCTTCCTGGAGTGGGTCGCGGGTGGGACGCTGCGTCGCGGGCCTGGGCCGACAGCAGGAACTCGGCCCTTTCACTCTAACAAGACTTGGCGTTCCGAACCCGCCCCACCGTCGACAGCGCATTGCTATTCAGCAATGGCCCCCGAGGCGTGCAGCCTGACCAGCCGCTCTCGACTGGCCTCCACCAGGAAGCTTCGAGCCCCTTCCCTGGCGCGCGGAGCGGGCCAGGGGCGGCGCTGGTGGCGGCACCAGGGGGGCCCAGCGCCGGTTCAGGAGCAAGAAATCCGCGCGGAGCTCCGGAAGCTTACGTTTATATAATTATATGTTTTTCGATTGTAAGTGGCACTGCAGCGTGCGCCGAAACTTCAGGCACAACTTACGTCCTGCCGCGCTCGTGGGCGCACTCGTCGTCGCCGCCGCCGCCGTGGCCGTCGTTGTCCTCTTCGACGCCGTCCTTGTCCTCGTCGTCGTCGTCCTCGTCTTCGCTGTCGCCGCAGTCATCGCCGCCGCCGTCGCCGCCATCCTCCCCGCCCACGCCCACGCCGTCGTCGTCACCGCCGCTGCCGCCGTCACAACCGCGCTCGCCTCCGCCGCCGACGCCGCCGTCGCCGCCGCCGTCGCCGACGCCGTCGAGGACGTTCCCGCCGCCGTCTCTCGAACGCACAAGCGCTCTCAGGGTCTGGGCCGACCCACCCCCGGCGACTTCGAGGGCACCTCGGACCCGTGGGAGAGCCAGGAGCAGCCGAGGCGGTGTGGGCCCCGCAGTCTGCCGTTTCGAGCGTCGCGAAAAACGCACGACCGGAGCCACAGACTCAGGTCGGGCCTGTCCTCCCGCAGGCAGATGCTCGAAGAAACCCATGCAAAAGAAAGAGAGCACGAGAATTCGTCACCAGACTATTTGTTACGTGTCTTAGAATATTTCTCCTGCAGAGGGACATGCCCGACTTGATCATAGACCGCATCTGTCTACAGCATATTTCAAGCGAGACCGACCTGTGGTGCTGCAGGGGCCCGGAACAGTCGCCCGTGGTAAGAAAAAATGCGTCGCCAGGATCTCAGGGTCGTTGACGCCGCCGTCGCCGCCGCGGGCGCGCCGCCGCCGTCCCCAGACATCCGACGTCTTGATTTGTGCAGCACGGGTCCCCGAAAGTCCCAACGCATTCCCCGGGACCAGCTTTTCATCCCGGGCCGTTTATTGACGACCACAGGGCCCTGCGAGGGCCCCCCAAGGTCGAAAGCGGGGAAAACCCTTCCATCCTGATATTGCCGCCACCTCGGCGACCGCGTGGAGGCGAGCAGCGCGGAACTACAGTCAGCCAATCCCGCTGATGCGTCACTTCGTGCTGCCCCACGCACGCGTGCGGGCGCTTGGCCTGCGCAGGGTGCATTACCCACATGCCTGCTAGGCACACGGCGGCTTTCCTTCTCCATGCCTTTCCCAAGGCGCGAGCATGTCCCCAGACATCTGGCGCCTCGATTTGTCCGAGACACAGGGCCCCGACTTCTCGACCACCCAGGACCGGCCTGTCATCTGCGATAGGTGGTTTCTCCATGGCCCTGAGGCCTGAAGGGCCAGGGGAGGCCGAAAACTACGAAAACATCTGCCACGATTCTTTCGAGACGCTAGGTTTCCGTGCCTAGGTCCTCGCCGCCGCCGTCGTCCTCGGCGTAAGGCTAAGAGGGCGCATCTGCGGCCTTCGCGGCCGCGCCGGCGCCCTGCAGCAGCTGCGCGGCCAGGCCGCCGCCAGCGCCCTTGGCCTGCAGGCTCTGCAGGATGCTCGGAGGAGGGCTCGGGCGGGGCACCGCCAACCCCCCCCTGTAAGACGAGGCCTGAGGTCCGGGCACTGCAGACTTGTGACACTACGTGTTTTCGCCCAGGTCTGGGCCCCGCGACCGCCACGGATCGACCCGGCTTGCTGGGGTGTCGGGATCTGGTCCTGGTGCTTCGCGATGTTGCAAATCGTTCCGCGCCGCGGCAGTTGCAGAGCGCTCCGGGACGCTCGGAGAGCGTTCCGAGCCACACTGGAGCGAGTCACTCCTGTCCTGGGCCCGCCGGACTCCCTGGTGAGCGTTTTCTTCTTCGGAGTTTCGACATTGAGCGAAGAGCGGGGGGAGGGGGAGGGTCTGGCTCTGGACCTCTGCTTAGCGCGACTGTTTGTAACAGCGCGCCCTATGGGGGAGAGACTCCACCTGCTCGCAACAGGCGCCAAAAACAGCCAAGATCCACCCCATGGGGGGGGGCGAGGGGGGGGGCGAGGGCCCACGCCGATCGGCAAAACAATGGATCAGAAAACGATCACCTGGGGCTCCCCGTCCTGTTTGGGGCCTCCTGGCGGCTCGTCGCCACGCCCAGATCCATGCCAGACACAAAAGCCAGGACGGGCCCTGCCCTGCGAGGGGTCCGCGGGCGGGTCTCGAGCGCGCTTGTCGGCTACACGCAGATGTGACCCTGGGCCAGAGTGACCTTGCCTGAGCTCCTGGCGAGTCCATTTTTTCGAGCCGGGCGTTTTCGCTCAGCCTCGGGACCCTGGACCCTCACATATCGATCCGGCTCGAAAAATGACGCAGAAGAATGGGGCCTTGAGGTCTGGTCACGATTTGTTGCGATGTTAGATGTTTTCTTGCGACGTCGATTCTCAAGGGTTGGTGCGGGGCCCGAGAGGGGCCATTCGGGGACACCACCAGGCGCGCAAGCCGCTGCTATCGCATCGCATTCCGCGACCGACGGGGGCCCCACTGGGCCCGCACCACAGGGCACTCCAGCGAGAGGTCACCCTCACGTGCAGCTGAGCTTTGGCCGCGCGGGAAACGGCGACTCCGGAGGGTGTGGATTGCAGAGGGTGTGGGTTGCAACCGGCACCCTGGGGGGGGGCACCCTCTGGGGGGCGGGCGGGGACTTCGCTGGAGCTCTCCGCCGCGCTCCGAGGAGGCCCGACGAGGACAGCCCACGGCGCCGCTCGCAAACCACACCCCGGCGTGACAGCACCCTCTGGCAGTCGCCGAGGGGGGGCCGCCGGAGCAGCTCTCCGCCGGCCCTCCTCCGGGGATGCGGAGGTACTTGTCCTCGGGGGGCGGCCGGACCTCGGCGGGCCAGAGGGCGCCGGCGGGCGGCTGCGGCCCGCTCCGCGCCCCGAGCGGGGGGAAGAGGGCCCATTCGTTGTGTCAACTTCGGGGTATACACCCTGCGAAATGCTCTAGACATCATGGGTTAAGAAATTCATAGTCTCAGAATTTGAATAAAAATCCAGAATGTCTATTCAAATCTTAGGATCTACATTGAAACATTAAGAATAATCGAAACTCTGGCCGAAAACTTGGGTTTTCTTAAGCATCGCCTAGAGTGTAGGTAACTGTCTTTCGGGGCCAAGCGCTCTTCCCGGGTCAAGTGTTTTTGTTCTGGGACCCGCCGTGTGGGACGTCCTCAAGACATCCCACTGGAGGACGTGTTGGTTCGTGGGTGGGTTGTCTGATGCAGGAACAAGGAACCATCTCTTACAGGATCCAGAAAAACTGTCTTTCTTGCAGGGTGGAAACCTGGCCCCACCGCGTGGGATATCGTCCGAAAAGTGCCAGTGAGGGACTGGTTAGTTGGTTGGGCGCTGGCTGGTTGGCTCACCAGCTTCCGGGTCAAAAACATTATTTCCGAGGCGATGGGGTGGACGTTGAATGATATACTGTTTGGTTGGTTGGTTGGTTGGTTGGCTGGCTGGCTGGAAGGTTGGTTGGTTGGGCGGTTGGTTAGTTGGTTGGCAGGCTGGTTGGCTGGCTGGTTGGTCGGTCGGTTGGTTGCTTTGTTGGGTGGCCGGGTGGCCGGTTGCCCGCTTGCCCGGGTGGTTGGCCGCTTCTCCCCTCCACTCCCTCTCCCCTCCCTCCCCCTTCCTCCCTCCTCACAACTCCTCCTTCCCCCCCTCCTCTCTGTACTTTCCTCCCTTCTCCTCCCTCCCTGTCCTCCTCATCCCAACCGCCCACAATTTACTGTAATGCAATGTTCTGCACATGCAACGCAGATGCAACGCAGCGCAACGTAATGCAACGCCACAGGATGCAATGCAATGCAATGCAATGCCACACAACGCAATGCAATGCAACGCAACGCGTCACGTGGCAGCGCCGCGGCGTCCGAGACAAGCATTCTGTCACGACGAGGACGACGACGATGACGATGACAAGGGCCAGGGAGGCTAACAAAAATACTATCATGTCCTCCTCGTCCTCCTCGACGACGATGACGATGACAAGGGCCAGGGAGGCTAACAAAAATACTATCATGTCCTCAACCCTCGTCCATTCCTACCGCCCACCTTCACCCCCTCTCCGCCTCCTTCCCCCCTCGCCAGCCGGCACGAGCTCTGGCCCTCGCCCAGCCAGCGTGCTGGCCCTCCGCGCAGCACGCCTCCCCGCGAGACCTCCATCCGCGCCGCCCCTCCCTCGGTCCGCGCGAGGTAGGAGCCACTGCCGCCGCCCGCGTTGGCCGAGCAGCCTCGCGGCAGGCAGCCGCACAGCTTGGGCCCGGGCCCTGGCCAAGGGTCATTGGCCGAGAGCGC